GCAACCTTCAGAGAAGTGCCGAGACGAGGTCGCCGTTGAGTGCCCCGACCACCGCCCTTGCAACTTCGTGAAAGGCAAGCCCCTGAGCATATTAAGCCTCCTATTTTCCGAACTGCGATTCTGATGATTATTATTACATATATTGTTGCATTAAGTTTAGGTGTTGGGTGCAAACACTTGTCGCATTGGTTACCTATTCCTTGTCCGAGATATTGTTACCACTGAATCCTATGTAGCTCGAGCTCGAGTAGTGCTTAGCCCCCTTAAACGCTGAGAAGTCGGGTGATTTCCTGTCACCTACGAGATATAGGAAGATACATGTGGCACGGTTGGCTATATTTGCTATCGTGGAAAAGAACCAGTCTTAATTTGAAATGAAGACCGGACGGAGGCTTGCCGGTTTGCAGTGACTCCGTCTGTGTCGCTTAAGGACTGATTCTTGGAGCCTTTCCTGTTCATGTTGAACGCATGCCTCTCTCTTAGTTGGCTGGAGTCCGGAGACCGACCACGAAGCGAGTAGCTCACCTCGGGCCGGAGTCGATAAGTATAAAGTGCGCCTCGGAAGGGAGCCGAGGCGTGAGTCCAAGGCGGGTGATTTAAAAGTCCCGATCGTCTGGCGGAAGGGTAATCCACGAGAGTCTTGGCGCTGATCGAACCCGCGAATTTGGTTCTGAGATGTTCCAAAGGTGACCCACGGCTACCCTTGCAAAGTATGCCGTGGTGAGAGTTAGGAATACCCCTCACCGAGTTGTAATTCGATTCAATCGCCGCCTCTCCCCGGTTAGTGAGAACTTGACGGGCTTATCTCCAATGTAGATACACTTAATAACTTAATGGTTCGGAAATGATGATATGATGTTGACACCTTATTATACCTGCTATGGTTAATATTGTTTGCTCCTAATAAGTGAGTGCTCTAGTACAAAAGCTAATCTAGTGGACAGTAAACGATGATAAGCTTGATGCTAAGTTTAAATTGGTTACTATGCTCATAAGCTCTTTATGCAAATGTGTCAAGCTAGCCCACCGAAAAGCCTTGCATGATCCTTGGTGTCGTTTATTTCGATTTTTGTCGGGTAAGTCTAGTGAGTACCTTCTCGTACTCGTGGTTTATTTCCCACCATGCGTAGATGACCAGTTCTTCTTTGGTTGTCGCAAGTACTTGCCTTCTCCCTCTTTGGGATGAAGACTAGACCGTTATGCCGGTCTCTACTAGTTCTCGTACCTGATAATGCTTTTGTGGGACATGACTCTGATCTGGCAATGTATTTGAACTATGAAGTTATGTACTAAACTATGTTGCTTCCGCACACTCAAACTTGGTTTGTAATATTTTATTTGAACTCTGATGGATGTAATCCGAATGCTACTTGTGAAATGTTGTAACGAATGATGTGTTGTGTTGAATCATTACGATCTTGGTTTGTATGTCGAGAGTTGGTTGAAATCCTTCGTGATTTCTGGACTACCGGGATTATGGGAGCTTAAGTACAGGAATTTGATCGCTTCGGTGATTGTTTTTGTACTTACGTTCTTATGATTTGGTCGGTTCTGTTACAAACAACACTCCTGTGGAATGAAAACTTATTATCATGCTAAGAGTTCACAATTTCCCATGATTTCTCTCAAGTATAAACTTTGGACCTGAGATAGCTTAGCTTAACGGAGGATGGTAGAGGATGATAGATGACTCTGGTGTGGAGCATTCAAAAAGCATTATGGATCTAATCTAATATATGAGTATGCGGTTGCCAGAACAATATTGGAATAATTTAGCATAATGTGGTGGTAATAATTTAGCATAATGTGGTGGTCTCGATTATGTTACAATTATTGGATTCTTCACAGAGAGAGAAAGAACACGGTATTTAATATGGTTAGTTCTACAACTTTTTGGAGCTTGTAAATTGACTATAACTTTTCAAAATAGCATTGACATTGCAACAACTACAATGACATGTAGTATATGAGCTCTTATACTCTATAAAGAACTTGAAGGAATACAAACATTACCAGAGAGTACTAGAGGGATTGTGACGGATCCATGATGCACCAGGTTTTCTTCTTGGTGTTTCTCTCTTCTTTCTCTATTTTTCTCTTTTCCTTTATTCTTCATCCATAGAAATTTTTAGCAACTTTGGGGTGGTTCCATTGTTTGTGCGAGGAGTAGGGGGTCTAGGCCCCTGTAGCCCCACAATGGTTTACTCGTCGGCTGAAAGCGATGGAAGGAGCCGATGAAGCCAATCCTCTAGCATTCCAAGTTGCAAAGAAGATGACCACTTCAATGCGTGTTACTGTTTGATGGCGATGTCACCCTTGTTACTTTTGGTTGGTAGAAAATAGAAACAATAATATAAATGCTTAAATTTGTCTTGTGGCATTGCAATGGACTTGACATGTCTCTAATATTTAAAAAATAATGGCTTCACACCCACGAAATATGGACACCTCTAGTGTGAAATTGATGCTGCTCTACATAAACACCGGTGCATCGAAACTTTTGATGTCAATTATATGAGCGTCGACTCACAGGGCCCGCTAAATCTGTTCCCCCCCCTAGCGTTAGCTTTGCGTAGGTCTGTGAATCTCACTCCCGGCCTAGTAATGGCTTGTTGTTGAGAGGTGATTTTTTTATCTAACTTGGTTCGACTTGTCTGCGAGATCCAATTTCAGGTCTGACACTCCACAATGTGCTCCTTTTGTTTTTCACCATCACGATTCGATTCTCACGTATGTTGGAGCTGGTCCAAGAGACCCAATTATTATCCTCGCACCTTATCAGCCTGTTCGCTCATTGGTTTCAGTCAGAGCTTATCAGCCAGCCAACAAAGTTTTCCTCTCACAACAAATCAGCACCAGCTAGGCTTATCAGCCCAGAAACCAACCAACGAACAGGCCGTATATCTATAATAGTACTGTATGCCTACACCTATTTTTTGCTAAGGGGTAAACAAATATGTGTTATAGTTTATAATTTCTGAAGCAGCACCAGCTACCGTTATAAGCTGCTTGCTAGCACTCATCAATCTAAAAACATGCCATTTAGGATAAGATGCAAACCTTAAGAACCACAAACATCAATATATTTTAAATCTTTTTTTATTTGATATATACAAGATATATTGACAATTTTATATTAAAAAAGTACTTGTAAAATACTATACAATTAAATAATTTTAAATTTAAATTCTAGAACATATTAGTATTCAATATATACATCGAAGGCTGACGTAAAAACAAGGGTGGCCAAACACAAAATACTTAGATGCTCCTCTTACCTTTCTTAGCTGAAGATCAACGCAAAAAATATGATAGATTATGGATGAGTTGACGCCTGAGGGCTGACCCGTCAGCTCCAGAGGTAGCTGATCATTGCACGTTCGCTGGGCTGATAAGCCATTGCTGAAAGTACTGTTAACTGTTTTGTTGTAAAAATAATATTTATTAGTTAAAAAAATACGACTTATAAGCCAAATGAATATGGCGCATGTTCTATGTGCAGCTCTGGCTTTTTTAAGTAGCCTTACACTAAGGTCTACTGACCTTTCCTTGTAATTATGGACAAGCACATCCACTTTACAGGGGGATTCCCATCATGTGGCCACGCACAGGACAACAACATCACGGATCTATGTGTGCGTGCCACCAGCTGGTACGGACCAGGCGTACGATGTGATAGTGGCTGCATGTTAGCATTTTTTCAGTGGAAATAAAATATTGTCATCATTATTAATCACGTACTGTAGTTACGACATCCTTTTGTAGACGGCAGCGAATTCTTATAGACATGGTTGACGTAAGGCAGTCCAATAGTGTATTGATGATGGTTTTTATCCACATTAAATGACTTGTCATGTAAGTAAAATGTTGATATGGTAACATAATTAATGAAGAAAGAGAGCAAAAATCATAGAAATGGTTTCCTCATGAAGAAATCAGGTCTACTCTTGACCCAATGCACCAAGAAACCATGAAATCGCCATTGAGGAGAAACCACCAGTTTTTAGGGAGCTCGTGTCGTACTCCTATTAGAGGAAGAAGATAGAGTTGGGAGAGAGAAAGAGAAAATAATTATTACTCATAGAAACCATAGGTTGCAAAGCAATACTTTTTTTGTGTGGTATCCTATATTATAGAAACTACTAGTTTCTTTCATTGGGACTGCCCTAAGAAACCGCCTCTAACTAGGTAGGGAACATTGTAGCTCACGAATTATGGAAATCCATTTTTTACTAGCGGTTCCGTTAAGAAACAATAATGTGACGTGACGAGACTCAAATTTCAAAAAAATAGAAAACCCTTCAATACGATGTCGGATGAAGATAATTTTTATATGTAAATTGTAGACCTCGATGAGATCTACAACTTTATAGTTTTAATTTTTTCATTTAAGGACAGTAAGATGCTCGAAAAAATAATATAAAATTTCAGCACTATAATAATCGTCTACTAGCGTTTGCCGCATTAGAGCACTAATATATTATTTGTATGGAGTTAAATGAAAATATTTTTTATACCAAAATTGTAGCTCTCAATAAGATCTACAACTTTGTAGTTTTGAGTTTTTTCATTTGAGGACGTTAAGATGCTTAAAAATAATATAAATTTTGGCGCCTCTCGAAAATATCAAAAGTTACTGTTTATATGTCAAAACCGTCCAAAAGGTCGAAAGTTGAACGGTTTCGAGAGTTGGAGGACCAAAGTTATCCGGTTTTGAAGCTCAAGGTTGAATTCCGGACTTTGACAAGAGTTAAGGTTGTAAATTAAACTTTACCCTATTAAAAAAGACAAGCGATCAAAATTGCTGCTAGTGACAAGTATTTTGAAACGTCGAATAGTATTTTGACCGGATGTTCAGATATACGGCTACTGCGCATGTGGGATTTGTTTTGGAGTTTTGGACTTTTGGGTATCTATGGGTAGAACGGCTGGACGAGAACAGCGACGCTGAGAGAGGTCGAACGTGGTGGTGACGAGAAAAAAAAAACAGCGGCGGGGCAATGGCCGGGAAGGAGATGACACCGGCCTCCAAGGCGGCGGCGCCACCGGCGACGATACGCCTCGTGAACTTCATCTCCGAGGATCAGGCAAGGCCGCGAACACTTGCCTTCCCCCTCTTCCCCTCTCTCGCTCGCTGGCCGGGCACGTAGAATCGGAAGGGGAAAACCTAGGAAGAAAATTAGCTGAGCTCTGTGGGAGAATCTCTGAATTTTTGTGGTTCGAAAAAAAAATTGCAGCTCGATGAGGTGAAGCGGACACGAGGGGAGCGGGTGGAGGACGGCACCGCGCAGCGCGACAAACCCCTCTTCCAGGTGAGGTCACACCCCTCATAATCCTTTTAGACCCGTTGGTTGGAGCTAATGCGTATTTTCGTCATTCGCTGTGCAGATCCTACAGGAGAACAAGGAGAAGAAGGACGCCGAGTTCAACGAGCGGTTCAAGCACAGTATGTGTTGCCACGATGATGCCCTGATACCATATTATGTTCTGTGTTTGAGCAACTGTGGGTGGAGCTTCTATCATTTCGATTTAGGTGTAGTTTTCTGTGCTAGTACTCATAAGGATGTGATCATGAAGAGCTTGGATAAATTTACTCAAGAAGTGTGATTGTCGCGTCAGCTGCAAGTTCAAGTTGCAGCAAGATCTGTACAGGCTAAAAATACTTTCTAATCACTGAAGCTTGTGGGTAGTAGTAGTATGAATAAATAACTGCAATTTAACTGTTTGCCTTGTGTTCATCTGAAATGATATGGAGTAACAGAAGATTTATTCTTGTTTAGTGCGGTATGATTGGAAGAAAGTTTGCAGCTAGCTGAATAACCTTTGTGATCTGCTATCCACCTGTTCGATGCTATTACTATTTCTGGAAAAAATGAGTAAAGTACAAGGCTAGGAATAGTGAAGTTTGATTTTTTGTATTAAATTTGGCTTCTTGTTTTGATTTTAATTGTTATCTATTCTATCCAGGACCTCCAAAGGCTTTGGATGAGGATGAGACAGAGTTTCTTGATAAATGGGCTTCGGTAAGCATTTAATGTAAGCTAGTTGACTTTGAAAATCACTACTTCAAGATGTAAAACAAAATGGTGTATTGCTGCCCGTCAGCATCCTCACGAAGGGTGAAATATTTAACAACAATAAAATTTTATTTGCCATGTTCCCTGATGTATCTTTATGTGTATACCTGCTTAAGGGTCCTTTCTCCTCACTCCTTATTACCAACTGCTGGGAGCACAAAATCAGGGTGTGGATGGCTAGATCTGTCACGTGTTGTGTACTTTAATAATAAGAAACCCAGTCCATTTATTCATTCATAGCATATGAGGGCTTTGCTTCATAGTTTTACTGACGTCACTTCCCCCTTTCCTTTACTAAAGACTAAAACTAAAAACCCTCACTCAGAAGTGTTCTAAACCTGCAGGTCCCAAAGTTTAACAAAGTATAGTCATCATAGGTTTAAATGGAACTAAAACCAGGTTACAGCGCTGTAGTTTAGGAAAAGGAAAATTGACTACTTGAGCTGCTGCAAAACCATTTCGATTGAGTCTCATGTCAATCCCCTTATCCCTGATAGTATACTACATTCTGTATACCAAATTTGTAATAGGACAATGGCTAGACTTGATAGTTGTAGCCTCAGGCATAAGCTGTATTAGTAGAGGCTTGCAAACCAGCTACAATAAAATATTTAAAAACTGCATTACAAGAAACATTGTCTGCCCAACTGTTTGCCACAATCTCAGATATATGTTAATATTATAAACCATGCATGATTTGGTATAAATCAATGTGTCTTATTGAGACAGTTTAGAAGTTTCTTTGAGTATCTATTGCAAACATAATGTTCATATTCCTTATAATGCAAACATAATGGTTGACTAGACATAATGTTTCTTAATATTTATCACTTTGATTAACTTTACGAGAAACAGGAACTTTTGGTTAACATTATGAGGACCAGGAATTATATTATTTATGTTCCAGAAAGGAACTTTGGGTGAGCATGTTAAGGGGGCACAAGAAATTACTACATTCTTTTATTTTTTCCAGTGGATGAGTATGGTTATTTCTTATTTACAAATCATAAAACAGTATGTCTGTGGCGTTCAGTATTATTGTGTTGAAATTCGGAAGAGTAGGAAAATAATCTTAAATCCAATCCTAGGGTAGCTTGGTAATCTTCTTAGTCATTAATACTCGCATTTTAATAGGAATAGATAAGAGTTACGAACATAAAACATATGGGATCTAAATTATATTATTATTAGTGGTATCGTATAGTCCATGTCTTCTGCAACATTCTTAGTTCCTTGTTTTATGTTACTTGGGCACAGTCAAGAAAGGAATATGAACAGCAGGTGGCCAATGAAGAAGCGGAACAGCTCCGCAGTTTCCATGTGAGTAGCATACTGACAAGTAACAGTTGCTACGTCTTGCCCTAGCTTTATTGTTTTCAGATGAACTACTTATTTTCAACACTGCCAGTATTTGTATCTTCCAAATAGAATCACAATCAAACATGAAATCTTTACTTTAGCTTCAGCCCAGCAGTCTTACTTGTTGCATTTGGATCGCTTGTATGGCATTGTAGCTTAGTCTATCAGATTCTTTTTTTCATTAAAAAGGACTAGATGGAAGCATAGGATTTTGTTTATTGTGATGTATCATCTGAATGTTATTGCATAGAATAGCTAATGTGGAGCTCTTAGATGCTCCATATGTGATCTCATTTTTATCTTAAGCTAGTAAACTTTAGCAATCGTTTTTTTTTTTTACTATGAGACAACTTGCTACAATTGTGTTTCAGGAATAGTTAAGATGACTAATTGACTATCTGGTCTCATCCACCTACCATGGGTCACATGACTGACCGAATGAGTATTTGTGTTTCAGGAGGCTGTAGCTGCACGGTCCAATATTGTTCATGAACTCGAGACTCCAACAGTATCTAGACCTGAGGTATGTTATGATTCACAGATTCAACATTTAAGACAGGATTAAAGGAAAGTACGCGCATACATTAGTGCTTATTAAGCGCACTCCCCTACCATTTAATAATTGAATTTCTCATCATGATGCTATCAATGGAACATCAAAATATCTGTTCCACCAATGTGTCCAGCTGATGCTGAACTATGCTTGCACCTACCCCTGTTCAGGAGAGCAGACCTAAGCCACCTACGAAGAGGAGCCAGCCCGCACTCCTGAAGAACGTAATAATTTCCGTGAAGCCGCAAGCCAAGAAACCAAAGGTTGAGGCGGAAGCTAAGCCTGCTCCCGAGGAGCGGCCTTCAAATGGGCATGACGCAGATCAGAAGCAACCAGATGACACAAAGGCAACGCTCGGGTCTCTGGTGGCTTATGACGACGACGATGACGAAAGTGGGGGAGGACGATGGATGACAGTGGCGTTGGAGAGTTCAGGTGTGGATACCGCAAGATGACTGACAGTGGCGATCAATAGTTCAGGTATGGATACCGCAGAGCTTACTGGAAAAGATGCCAGTGGAGCTGCAGCCAGTGGGGTTTCCTGGAGGAGAGGCAAAATTGGCTTCTCTTACATTCAAAAGCCTTTGCGGCAATTTTCTTGTATGTGTTGTACAATTCGAACATGATCTGGGAACAGTACTAATCATTGGTACACTGGTAGCACGTTGTCTTACGAAGGAACCCTGTAGCAAGCAGTAGTTGCAATTTATCTGATGAGCGTGTGTTCCTTCCCCATGGACGTTTAGAAAACTGGTGATAGGTTTGTCTACCCCATCAGTTGGTTGCTGGCCCAATCCACCTAGCAGATTGGAACGTGTAGCGAAAAGAAGGAAATGATGTAACACTTAACAGCTTTACCTGCTGGCCCAAAGCACCTAGCAGATTGGAACATGTAGCAAAAAGTGGTGGAGCAGAGCCAATTTAAGGGGGTGCACTAGTCCTGTGGATGCATAAATTTTTACAGTACGAGTGCATATACGATGAAAAATTGAACATAGTTACTGTTTTTCTGATTTTTCGTGGGTGCGGCCGCACCCACAAAAATGAATATACATCCGCCCATGGCAAAAAGAAGGAATGATGTAACATTTCACAGCCTATATCTTGGTAGAAGACGCTACGCGTTTTGGAAACAACTGAAAGTGACAGAAATCGGACTGGAAAACTTGAAGCTACTTGCAATCCATGCAATTTCCCGGACTGGTGATGTGCCTTTGACTAGTGGGAAGATGTACGACATGAGTCTGCTGCTGCGGTACGTACTACTAGCGAGGCAGCCGTTTCAGATGGCTTGGGTAGTCGTGTGTGTGTGTGTGTGTGTGTGTGTGTGTGTGTGTGTGTGTGTGTGTGTGTGCAGTACGCGTTGTACTGACGAAACAAAGCCAGTTCCGCGCTTGTGTACTCCACTCTGCAATATCAGGCGCATCGTCGTACTGAGTACTGACGAAGGCCGGCAGGCGGCAGCTTCAATCCCTGCCTGCTTCTTTAGCAGTACTGTACTGCACTTCGCTGCGGTGAGCCGGCACAAGTATATATAGATCTCCAAACTCCAATGTTCCATGGGGGTGATGGCATTAGCATTAGCATTAGCATTAGTGTTAGTTTGGCAATGGCGTGGCCACCAGGTTTGGTATAAACACAGACACAGGTAAAGAGAGCGAGAGATGGAAGGTGGGTTTGATTGGAGACAGGGACGAGGCAGTGCATGGGATGGGGCCATCAACAAAATTTCCAATTTCCGTTTGCTTGCTCACAAAATGAAGGTGCCTCCCTGGTGATGGCCTGACCTGAGAGGGCTGAGAGCTCAGCTGGTGACCTGGTGTTGTTGCTTCCTCCCCTGCACTGCCTCTTCCCTGGCTCCCCACCGTTGCCCTTGTCCATCCATCTCTCTCTCTCTCGTTACGCTTTTGTATGTTTTTGCCTGCATTCTTTTCTCAGTAGCAGTATTACTTTTAGTTGTCTTTGCAATATAGTTCTAATAAAATAAATACTGCAGGTCTGCAGCACAGCAGATTTGCAATAGTTCTAATAAAAACTAAGCACTATACAACATTTATTCCACCACGACGGGCTACCGTGGCAAATTATCCCTTGTTTTCTGCTAATCAAACTCAAGAATCTTCTGCCTAGAGTAGAGTGTACTTTCAGGAAGGGGAAAAAAAATATTCGGTCTGCATCTTCGGGGAGCCTGCATGGACAATTGGACATCACGTCGCTCCTATCCACAGAGCTCGACGCTCAAGGACAAAGGAGAGTGGCCAAGGTGCCAGCGATCCTCGCCATGCCAGACACAGGAGACCGAGGCCTTTTTTTTTTTTTAGATTCTAAGTTTTTTCACTCTTTCTTTATCACATCAAATCTTTCTACACATATATGGAATATTAAATATAGATAAAAAAATAATTAATTACACAGTTTAATTGTAAATTACGAGACGAATCTTTTAAGCCTAGTTAGACCATAATTGAATAATAATTGTCAAATACAAATGAAAGTACTACAATGCCAAATACTGATTTCTAACACCCATCTAAACCAGGCCCGAACGTGAGCTTCCGATGCCAAAGAACAGGAAGAAAGGCGAGAGACAAGAATCCCATCAGCGTTCCCCAAGGTTTACCTGCTGAAGTTCGTCAACAACCAAAGATGGCTTCGAGAAAAATGATTAGGAGGGGCAAAACAGCCATAGACTCAGAGTCGGTTCATCTTACCCGGCTTCTCCAACAACTAATTTCCATCTTTTAATCCAATTCAACGCATGCGGATTAGATGGATACAGAGCACTAGTACAATTCTATTCTTTAGCTTTAATTTAGATCTAGTTGGTGGTCTACTAATTTTTTGTTTCTACCCGCAACTCAAGTTTCTCTGAATTGGTTCCTCCTAATTCTGGACCCTTACCTGGCAAAACGGTTGTTTGATATTAATCTATGTGGAGGTGCGACACCACCCGTACAAGGAACGCCGTCAACAAGTCAGCTGGGAGCGCCGTCATCTTCAAGCCAACCGGTGAAGCCTGCGGTCTCGACCAGCCAGGCATCGACGGGGCCATCTTCTTCAGCTCGATCAATGCCAGAGTCCCCAAGACCCGAGCACGATGTCAGCCCAGCGAGCAGCAAGCGCTGCGTGCCCGACCAGCCAATAGTGTAGGCTATAGCTGTAGAAGAAGATGTAGTTGGGTTATTGTAAACTTGGACCTTTTCAGGCAAGTTTGTAATAACGTAACTGTATATCAACATAAGCTTGTTTGTTTTGTAGAAAACACGTTTAAGCTTGGATATCATGTTGATGTAACTAAGTTAGAACGTGTTGGCGTTCTGTTTAGTTGTACCAGTTTAGTCGACACGTCATCATGAAAGGTTTGTATGGCCCTGGTTTGTCTTGCGGTCGGAGTGTGAGGTGCGTAGCTTGTGCACACGTAGAAACACACAAGTCAAACCAGAGAGCACCTACCGATCACCCATAGCGTAGAGAGCGGATCCCATGCATGCGTTGGGGGGAACCGGAGACAGGGCATGCTCCGAGAACCCGAGAAGGAATGGTGGTCGGTTTTAACTGGTAGAGTTAGAATAACAATAGACTTCGAAGTGACACATTAGAGTGGTCGGAGAAATCATAATAACTTTATTGAAATAAATCAAAAGTACAAGAGGGGTACATATCTTAGTAGCTAAGTATAGAAACACCTAAGCTTGTCGATGTGCCAGGAATTGGGCACGTTTGTGCCGTCTAGGCGAGCTAACATGTAAGATGTAGAGCGTGTAACCTCCTTGATCATGAAGGGTCCTTCCCATGGGGTTGCGAGTTTGTGGACACCATCCTGATTCGTCTTCCACTTCAGGACCAGGTCCCCGACCACGAAGAACCGCTCCTTGACGTTCTTGTTGTAGTACCTGCGCAAAACAGCAAGGTATTTGGCTGTATGTACGCAAGAATCGAGCCGCTTCTCTTCTGCACTATTCACTTCTAGCTCCCGCACTTCATTGGCCTTGTCTTCGTCGAAGTTCTCTACCCGTGCTGATCTGAAGGCTATATCTGCTGGGAGCACTGTCTCAGCGCCATAAACCATAAAGTATGGTGATACGCCGGTATTGCGACTGGGCTGGGTTCTGAGACCCCAGACCACCGCTGGTAACTCTTTGAGCCATCTTCCAGGAGCTTTGTCATTCTCTCTGTACATCCTCTTCTTTAAGTGCGTCCAGGATCATACTATTTGCCCGCTCAACCTGTCCATTAGCTCTAGGATGTGCCACCGAGACGTATTTTACTACTATGCTCATTTCATCGCAGAAGTCCTAAAAAACGTTCCCGGTGAACTGAGTACCCAGATCAGTGATGATGCTGTTGGGTATGCCGAAGCGGTGGATGGCCTGGTTGAGGAACGCGACAGCCTTTTTTGAAGATGCCTTGACCAGGGGCATGTACTCTATCCACTTAGAGAATTTGTCGATCAGCACAAAGACGCATGTAAATTTTCCAGGGGCCGGTTTGAAAGGCCCGATCATATCCAGTCCCCAGCATGCGAAGGGCCAAGAGGCTGGTATAGTCTGAATCTCGTGTGCTGGTACGTGGATTCTCTTGGCGAAAAACTGACAACCTTCACAATGGCGGACTAGCTTCTCTGCATCGGCTACGGCTGACGGCCAACAGAACCCTGCTCGGAAAGCCTTACCGACCAGCATTCTCGAGGCCACGTGGTTGCCGTAGGAGCCAGAGTGGATTTTGTCTAGGAGATGTTCACCATCCTCCTGGGTTATACACTTCATCAAGATTTCCTCCTTCGCGTTCTTGCGCCACAATTTGCCATCGACGAGCAGATACTGCTTACTGCGACGCATCAGGCATTCGTTTTCTGTCCGATTGGTGTAACCGCTACCATCTGTCAGGTACTTGATGAAAGGTACTCTCTATCGGGCTTCTTGGTGGTCGGAGGTGGTTTGGTGGTGTTTGACGCCGGAACCGTAGCCACCAATGGCTGGTCTAGAGGCTTGGCGACCGCGGGATCTTCTTCTTTGATGGAGGGCGTGAGCAGGTCTTGAACAAATACGCCATGTGGGACTTTGGCTCGGGATGATCCTAACTTTGACAGCGCATCTGCTGCTTGATTTTTTTTGTCCCGGACCACATGTGTGTACTCGATGCCATAGAACTTGCCTTCCAGCTTTCTGATCGCTTTGCAGTATGCGTCCATCTTTTCGCTGGTCGTATCCCAGTCCTTGTTGAGTTGGTTGATGACCAGAGCCGAGTCTCCATAGACATAGAGACGCTTGACACCAAGCTTGACCGCAATGCGCAGACCGTGTAGGCATGCTTCGTACTCGGCGGCGTTATTAGACGCCAGGAAATAAATCCTGAGGACATATTGGAGCTGCTCCTTGGATGGTGATACGAAAAGGACTCCTGCTCCTGCGCCGTGGATGTTGAGAGAGCCATCGAAGTACATCTTCCAATACTC